GAAACGACTCGCACAAACTCCCGTACAGACGATACCTCACCAATATTAGAATAATGAGTGGCAAGCGGCTGAGCTAGACGGTATACTGGCTGAGGCATTGATAAAATTTAAGGGTAGATGCTAAGACGCTCCACATTTCCTTCAGAAAGATTTGGGAGGATGAAAAAGTACTAACGGTCTGAAACAAAAGACGTCTTATCAAGATACAAAAGAAAAGAGATTTTAGTGCGTGACAAAGGGGTCACACTACCATCGGCATCAAACAACGTTTTCAACATAGTGTTGTTGAACATAGATTCGTTCCACCGGGGGATTGATATCAGACAAGAATGCGTATTCTTGCCATTTATATTTCTTCTGGTCATTTTCCGAGAGACCTTCACATCTCAGGAAAAGCGAAGAATTCGGTGGACAGATTGGATACAGACAGATGATTCGACAAATCAATGGCAATATTCCTAAAACTGAAGAATATTTGGAGCCTAAAAGAACTGCCACCCAGGACCAAAACCGGAATTTTCAAGATTGACGTTAAAACCGTCCTTTTGTACAGGCCGAAACTTGGCTTACGGATTTGGAAGCAAAAATCAAGACTAAGGATAGGACATACTAACAACTGAAACGTAGAACCCAGGATAGAACTATCTAGAGATCCCTGGTTGACAGTCTATTCCTCAAAAGGGCTAATGAACTTAAGAAATTATGTTGACTAACTGTTCAAATAAAACTATATAGTTTTATGTTACCTGGACGAGCAAAAACATAAAAGTAATGCTGAAAGTTTTACCTCAAGTTTTATCTAATGTACACATCGAATAATTTGTTTTAATAGGTTAACATAACATGCGGATTCTGTGATATTTTCGAATAAGTGCTAAAGATGGCAAAGATTGGAATGTTAGTCTATTAAAAATATTAACAATTACTTATATGATATTTATTTATTTTTCTCATTTATTTGAACATATAAATATTGGTACAAGGAGGCACCGAATACATATGCGCCACATAGATCTCATTTGATTTGTGTGAGGGCTGTGATACTGTCCGGGTGCCCAAACCGAAGCAGGTGGTTTTCTTAGGGGGCCACACCCGGAGCCATCGACCTGATGGTCTGATCCACAAGGCAGTAGAGCATCGAAAGGAGATGCAGTCCCATGGTAGCCGGTGACCAGCGATTGGTTCATACGCCATTTGTTCCCTCAGGATCCTGAAGCCAATTTGCATCATTGGCTTGGAGTCAGGGTTTTCCGATTCCCCCAGGTGGACTCTCCATGTCCACCAACCCGGTTAAAGCGCTGGACATTCGCTTTTCGTCCTCTCAATTTCGTGGACAACACCCTTACCACGAGAAGGCAGTGAGTAGGACTTCCCTGGCAGAGACTATATACGCATGGCCATGTGAGAGCATTTCGAGAGGATGAGCTGACTCTCCCAACTCTCGGCCGTACCAGGGCATTTGGAGGTACTTATACGATAAGCCTAAAGAGCTGAATAAAATCGATCAGAAATATTGATTAACTAGCAAATGAGTTTTTTTTCATGCCTATTAAGGTTAACTCTTTTATACATGCCCTGGTCCAATCTTTAAAAAAAAGACAGTTTATTTTATATTGATTATTATAAAATTGATCATTCTAATAAATAATGAATAACGTTCTCATTGATTTTCGATAAATCTAAGCTTATTTATACACTAATGATTATTTTATATTCGTTCATTGAAATCATTATACTTAACTACTTAAAGTAAATTAATTAATTAACGGTTGTAATAATCTTTTAATAGCTTATGATGTAATAGGTTTTCTGAGAGTTCTTTCTCATCTTATATTATTGTACAAGTAATAAAACAAAACTAACCTTGAATAAAAACGTTTATTTCTTCTTCTGTTGTTAAAACAAATGTAGTTTACTTTATACAAATTTTCATTTCCATATCTGTAATTCATATGAGTGATCAATACTTTGAGAATCAAATCACCTACTTAACTAAATCCATGTGAATATCATTTACTTTTTGTAATTTTGCATTGTAATTGGTGTTTTGTTATACATCATTATGAAGTGTTCCATGGTATAATTTAGTTCATGTGATTTGTTTGGTTTAACATGTATCTCATGAATGAATGGAAATCTTAAAGTAATTTACTCTGTCCAATAATTTGTTATTATCAGTATAGGGGTTGTAGAGATTGTTAAGTTTTTGATTGAGATCATGAATCAATTGATGTTAGACCACCGTTGGAAACCTGGAAGCACTGGACGGCCGTTTTGTCCTAGTATAATTTACCAGAAGGGGTTTTGTGGAGATTTTAGAAATTTCAATAGTTAAAATCATGATTCAATTAAAGCTAGACCACCATGGAAAACCTGGAAGCACTATATGGCTGTTTCGTCTTAGTATAGGACTCCTCAGCAGTGCGCATCCAGGATCCCTCCCCCCGCGAGATTCGAACCCAGGACCTATCGGTCTCGCGCGCGAGCGCTTAACCACTAGACCCCTGAGCCAGCATCCAACGGTGTTAATATCTAACTTCAACCATTACTTCAGAATCCATAACTTACATCATGGATTCATTTTAATTAGAAAAACATCGAAAACTATGAAATATTGAATAATAAAAAAGGGAGTTATAGTGTAGAAATGGGTAAATGACACTATTCGATAGCTTACTATCATCTGTAGTCGAAGGGATAATTGATAGACCACTATAAGTGGTTTGTATTTAATGTATGGTCATATGTAAACTAGTCTTCAAAAAGAAATAATTGCTCATCAAGTTTCTTTTGATTTCAATACATTCTAGCCCTACAGATTTCATCTATTTCTTAGCAAAATGTTACTTTGGATACTATAGCTACTATTTAGTACTTTCTTGTGTATTAAAACTATACGTGATATAATTGTTTATGTAGATTTTCTCACAATTACTTGATAATCATTGAATAAAAGATCGAAAATTAACGAGCTCATCATGAGAACTGAATCTGATAACAGTAAATTACAGAACAAGATTCCTGACCAAAGAGAAGTGAATTTCATAAAATTTGACAGTTTTCAACGATTATGGAGATAATTTTATTGATATTATGGACCAACCTAAGATCATCAGTGAAAACTCGGAAATAATGAACGGCCATTTCGTCCTAGTGCGGGACTCCTAAGATGTGATGTTGAAATATTTAAAATAACTGGTTTCATTAGATAAAACAGTTGCACATTTATATAGATTCCTTCTACATACACTTAACAAAAATATCAAATCTTCTATCGATAAAACGAACATTTCGTTGATACTAAAAGTGGCGGAATTGTAAACAAAGAATATTTTTTAAATTATTCGCTATCATAGTTTTTAACAGAAGTTAACAAGTACAAGAAAGAGATATTGAAAGGAAATACCCCCCCCCAAGAAAAGCTAAAATCATTTTTACTATGCTAATGATCTTCATATGAAAACCACAAGTAAATATCAATCAATGCTACTTGTAAAACCTCTATTGAGCTTAAAATAACGAGCTTTTAAGTTGTTATTGGAAACGCTTAATGGGTAACTACGAAAATTTACCAGTAGTATAGAGAAACATTCTACGTTTAAGATCTTAATAAAGCAATGTGTGCGTGCCATAAAGGCTATCTAGACTCAAAAACATCGTTATTTGCTTACTAGTGACTAACAGCGGTAATTCTTTGGTTTCTAGTTCGAATTCCTGACCAGGAGAGTTCAATCATGCTAGTAAAGCAGTTACTCACCAATGAAATTGAAAGATGATTGTACAGTGTCACAAGTCGACTGAATTTAGAAATGTAAAACGTAAGATACAGACTTGAAGGCTCAAGTGGTAGTCGTTCGCCACGATGATTTAGTGTTTTGAATTCGCTTTCTGTTAGAGTAATGTACTGGCACCTCTCTAGAGTCTTGTTTTATGAAGAAACAGATTATCAGTGATTCTTTGTTTACAATGATAGTCTAAAATCAATCCGTATTGTAAAGCCACAAAATCTCTTAACTATTTTCAGTTACCTTTTTGCTCTTTAGGTTTGATGTTAGTAATGGTAGGACATTTTGATGTTGTTGATCATCACTTTACTTTATATCTCTAGATAATTGAACATTTGAATGTTTTCCAGTTAAAAAAGCAGTACTCTAGCCTCATTAGTCTAAATAGTGATTTATTTGCTAATAAATTTCCCACTATTATTGATACTTGAGTCATTTGAATATGCCTATATCTTTCCACAATTCCGATTGAATTCGTTTAACAATACCCGAAACTGTAGCTGATAGGCAGTCCAACTTTTTCAAAATTCAGTTAACTTTTATAAATTAAAATTACTTGAATACTTGAGACACCCAACCTATGAGTAGGCATTTCACTGAATTTATGTGGTATTCACACCTATCGTTTTCATTTAAGTATTGAGGCATATTAACAAAATCAATCCTAGATGGGTCATTCAACTATTAATCATTTATATTTTTGTCGACTTCTAGGAGTAAACTTTTTGATATAGTTATCAGAATAGAAACTAAGCAGTGTATTTGCCAATCATGGAACACTAAACAACTTATATAAAACTCAAGAATGATTGACTACTGAGTTATACAAATCAGCTATCAGTAAATTGAAGAGGTCTCACTTTCCTTAAAGCAGGATTAACTGTGAACAACCATTAGAACTTGTGATTTAATTAACCAACTGCTAGAAAATTGGTTCCATTTATAAATTCTAATTGTTGACTTCATCTCAAAGGTTCAAAACTATCTATGAATAGACTTTAATGTGAACTAATAATCAACCGAAGTTGGTTGATTACAAACATGATCGATATCTCTTCCATCTTTCTAGATATTCTTACAGCAACATTTGCTGAAACTTATTGTCTTCAATATGCTTCGGACTAACAATATCAAGCTACCAATTTCAACGTACAAAATATCGTCAAACTGTTTTAGTTAATTAAGGTCCAGCGAAATTTTACAAAACTTATTAAATTATTAAGTCAAGGTATATTTAGGACATACGAAATTTAAATATAAGGGACGATAAATGAAATAATGAACTAAATCGACAAGTATTATTTTCTTGACTGATATTAATTAAGTAATTCGAACTGGTAGTCATATTTCTTTACATTAGACATTAAAATACTACTAATTATAATGTGCTTTGGTTGTTAATACAAAAAGGGAAGTAACTGACACGAGAAGAGACAAAATTAAGAAGAGTATGAAGAAGAAGACTGACAAAACGTTCAACATTGTTTGGCTTTACATATATCCGTGAATTCTGGTTTTAATGAAGCCCCACCAACCAAAAATCCATCGACATCATGTTGTTGAGCTAATTCTTTACAATTGGCAGCAGTTACAGATCCTATGCGTGTAGTAAATAAAAGGAAAAAGAAAAAAATACGTTTTTTAATACAGAGCATAGACATTGACGTTAACATTCAAAATTAATACTGCATTTCTAAGGATTAATAACTGAATAGTTGGACTATAGACAGCGAGGGATTTCAAGACACATCTATTATACTGTTTGAGACTCTAGTTGCATTCACCTGCTTTTTGGTTTTAATATCCATGTTGGGAATCAAACCCAGTGCCATTCACGTTAAAAGATAATGCAATATTCACTGAGCTACTGAGTTCAGAGAGCCAATGATTTGTTCTATGAGATCTGTCTATCATTAGGAGTGAAGTATTTAAGTTACATCCAGCTGATTAGTCTAAAATAATATAAAATGCATCGTCAATTTTACTACTAGTGACAATCCATCTATTGTAAACGATGTGCATATAGTGTCAGTATACAACACAATAGGTATATATTCCAGCAAGAAGAATTCAAATCCAATGATGAATGTCAACAGTGAAATAGTTCAGACACTTTTTTCCAGTTATAGAGTCATCATATCCCGTAAAAAATGTAATTGGTTGTCTAGATTCATTAGCTTAGTGGATAATGTACAAATATATAAATCAAAAGATAATGAATTTGAGTCTCAATGTAAATATTAACAATAAGGTGCAAATACATGTAATTGATAAATTTCATATAGGATAATAGATTCATTTTGAATTATAGTGCTAACCACAAAATATCTATTCTATGAAATAGTTATATTGAAACAATTCACAAAAAAAATGCACAAATACCAAAGGAAGAATAATGAAATTTCACTCTTAAATATCAACACAATAATAATTTAAAAAAGCCCGCAAATGCCCTGGTGCTGCCGAGAGTGAGGACAGTTCATTCTACCTCTCCAAATGCTTTCACATGACCACGTGTATATAGCCTCTGCCAGGAAAGTTCTACTCATTGCCTTCTCGTGGTAGGGGTGTTGTTCACGAAATTGAGAGGACGAAAAGCGAACGTCTGATGCTTTAACCGGGTTGGTGGACACGAACAGTCCATCTAGGGGAGTTGGAAAACCCTGATTCAAAACTAATGGTGAACATGGGCTCCAGTAACCTGAAGGGACATATGGCGTATGAACCAATCGCTGGTCACCGACTACCATGGGAATGAATCTCCTTACGATGCGCTACTCCCTTGTGGATCAGACCTTCAGGTCGAAGGCTCGAGGTGTGCCCCCCCCTAAGAAAACCACCTGCTTCGGTTTGGGCACCCGGACAGTATCTCAGCCCTCACATATATCAAATGAGATCTATGTGGCACATATCTATTTGGTGCCTCCTTGTACCAATATCTATGTGTTAAAATAAATAATTAATTAATTAAAAATTAAGGATTAAAATTGTCCTGAAATAAACGCTTTATATACAATAGTGATTATAATCACCAATAAATCAAATGAAATATATTTAATATACACTATAGATTATATTCTTTCCTTATATTATACTACGAAATTTTCTTTTATTTGTTCAGATGTATACTTTGCAGTGACATATTATTATTGTTATTATTATTATTACTAAACTTGCATTTTAAAATATAGAGCGTTTTCTGGTAAGCGTTTTTTTAGCGAGTTAGTTTTCTACGGGATGGGGACGCTAACCCCATGCCCAACCCTCCTCCTTTACCCGGGCTTGGGAGCGGCAGTAACTCTAGAAGAGCTACAGGCGGAGTTATAAAATATAGAGACTAAGGTAATAATGTAAAAAATTGTTTTAATTTATTTTATATTTAATTTAATTTAATTATCATTAAAAATCCTTTAATTAATAGAAAGTAAATTTCTCTTTTTTTTCATTAATCAATAATGTTACATCATTCAAAAGAAATATGACATAATTATTGATAAATATCATAATGTCAGAAGGGGTTTGTGGAGATTTTAGAAATTTTCACAGATTGAAATCATGAGTCAGTTGGAATTAGACCACCATGGAAAACTCGGAAGCACTGGACGGCCGTTTCGTCCTATTATTATTATTATTATTATTATTATTATTATTAATGGCTTTATTCACTACCAATATTGGTAATAGTATTAATAACAGTATGGGACTCCTCAGGAGTGCGTATCCACGAACCCGCACCCCGCGGGATTCGAACCCAGGGCCTACTGGCTTCGCGCGCGAGCACCTAACCATTAGACCACTGAGCCGGCGTTCAACGGTGTTAATGTCTAACTTCAACCAATCCACGAAGTTGCGCCACCGTATACCATTGTCATCAGTGAGCTGATGTCTCACGGGGTGCGAGTTCGTGGATGCGCACTGCTGAGTAGTCCCATACTAGGACGAAACGGCCGTCCAGTGCTTCCAGGTTTTCCATGGTGGTCTAGCTTCAACTGACTCATGATTTCAATCTGTGAAAATATCATAATGGTAGATAAAAGTAATAAACTTTGAAAATTGTCATCAATATTCTTTCTTTTCTTTTCTTTTTTTAAAAAAGAAAATTCCTTACTATGAAACTTGTGCTTTGTATTTGTATTTATCTAGAAATTATCAGTTAGCAACTGTTAGTCATAACTTTTAGGCTTGTTAATGGGAATTATTCACAATATTTAAGTGTTGATTATCTAACCAAAAAAAGAAAAAAACACAGTTTGAATTGAAACTTCATTTCTATAGTCTGTTTAAATATAGAAGTAAGAATTTATCAATATCAATAATAGGAAATTGAAAGTTTGAAAACTATCAGTAAGAAATGACAAAATGATTAGTAATTTATTGGTTGATTAAAAATTCAATAAATGATTCAAATTCTAGAATGAAACAACATTTACGAAATGTGATAACTGACTCAAAGTATCTAGTACATATTTCAGTTACTTAGGGAGTTTTGAAGAGAAACTTAATAATGGTGGAGATTTGTAGCTCAGGTGGATGATTTTGATGGAGTTTTGTTCTCTGAGCTGGATGGTTTGGTCGTGGAGCTCCACGACCAAACCATCCAGCTCAGAGAACAAAACTCCATCAGAAACTTAATAATCTCTAACATAAGGTTATTTCTACAATTATTGAATTAAAAAAATATTTTAAAACGTGAAGAAAACTTAGGTAAAAACATAATAAACTGATGCCCTTGAGTTAACCAATCAGAATTAAGATAACGCTCCAAGTGAATTTTGAGCGAAGTTTAAAGTGCAGTGATAGATAATGTGTCTTTTATTGCTAACCAAGTGAAAATTGATTATATTTGGTCCTTAAAATGTTTAAAATCAATGAAGATATTTATCATGAAACAATAAAGTAGATTTTAAATGACCCTTAAGCTAAACTACATAACATGCTCGCTCGAGAAGCAGACAATGTTAAGGCATTTGACGTTCTTCGTTGGGTAATCAAGAGTATTTAGATGATGTTCTCGTTTTCTTACCCTCACTCGAAATCTTGGCCCTGAGTTTCTTCAGCCTCTAGAAAAAAAGGTGGCAAAGCATTTCATCAATGCTAATGTCAGTTCGTGTTAAAAACCTTGACCCTTATTTGTAAAATTAATTCAAAACTCGAGCTTGACTGTTGGTACCGAACCCAAATCTTCTGTATTATAACTGATATAAGTTTCGGATAAAAACTCTGTAGAGTGATAACCACAACTCACAACACTAAAACGATTTACTATATGTATTCATATACCCTTCTTTCTTTTTTCCAAGGGATGATTTGTCTTGTTATGGTTAATTATCACGATCAAAGCTGTTATTTCACTATTATTTCATTACTTCGTATCGTTAATTGTTTCCTGATTGGCTTATTATTCATTCAAGGTCTTCACTATATGATACTTTTATCAGATAATGTAATGTCAACTCATCTAATTACAGCATTTTATACTGAATAAATATAATAAAAATAGAACAACTGAGTAAAAGTTTATTAAAAAGAAAATCAAAATAAGATTCACTAACCACCATAGATAATACGTATTTTTTCATCAACTCCACTTGGTGCGTTTGTTTTAAACCATTTACGAAGGAAATTATGAACCTCTTGAGCTTGCTGTGGTGTAGCAACTTTACCTGTTCCAATAGCCCAAACTGGTTCATATGCTACAACTACTCGTTTCCATTCATCAGCTGATTTAATCTTATCTAAAATGAAATGGTATTATTTCAGTTAAAATTATTACAAGATATTTGTATAGTTTTGTATAGTAAGCTAAACTTGAATAATAAAATAGGGAACAAATGTGTCTAGTAATTGCTATTATCATGTATCGAACTAAATGCTGACTGGACTTGAAACATTGTTTGGTACCTGACTAAATATCTGCTATTTATTTAAAATTTTACAATTTAAAATAACACTTCCTAAATTCATGTGAATTGTTGGATTAAAACAAAATATTTGACTCAACAAAGAAATTTTCAGTGATGAATTTGAATAAAATGTAGTCAGTCAATTTATCAGGCAGTCAACAAAGAAAAGAATTTTAATTTGGTGGGGTTCTTCTGTTGATGACGTCTAGGAGTATATAATTTTGATAGACACAATTTATAAATGTTGTCTTGATTAGATTTTTAAAATACTAGTTATGTTTATGCTATGTATTTGAGATATCTAAAGTTAATTTCTAATTACAAACAACTCGTATATCCTTCTTATATGAAATGGAATCTATGCGAACTACGCAGGCCGGAAGATTCACATACTACAACACGTCAACGTCATTAATCCATCAACGAATAAAACAGGAAGAATATCGATTAATCTGGACTGGTGATCCAGTTACCGTACGAATTTATATGCAGAAACTTCCACAAACATCGCATTCTTATCTTCACTGTTAGGGAGAATGATTTTTTTTAAAGTTGATGAGTGAATTTTCGATCAGTGAATTGAATAAACAGAATATTGGTTGATAAGTTTTAAGCACAGATACAAAATATGGTTGCTCATATGATTAAATTATTAACATAAACCTTCGAATAATTTAAGATCAATGACAAGACCACGAACTTGTAGAACAGTTTTTCATGTAATAACATTATTTAGTTATACACAAATTTCTATTAATGAAATCAACATTGATTGGTGAAAATCAGTTTGTAAGTCGCTTACTTGTTGCCCAGTAATATTAAATAAAAATTGATAAGAATATGAGTAAATGAAAGATTTAATCGCATCAAATTTTTCTTGTATAAACATTTTTATTAGAAAGAATGGTAATTAGATATATTTTGATCAATATTTTAATAGTACAACTAAAACTTTTCTCAATTTATTTAGCTTTCCAACTTAAAATTAAAGATTCTTCTTCACTGAGGAGAACAGAAAAAATGAATATGCTTTATTTGCTCAACAACAAAAAAGTAATCCTCATTATTGTAACCAAATTAATCTCTTATTTTGACAGAATAGAAGTTAAAACAATGATATGTTTAGTTCAAGATTCAATACTTTTTTTAGAAATTAAATAAAACAAGAGAAAGTATGAGAAAATGATAATTAACGATTTTCACACTTTGAAGTACATACAAAAGTAGTGATTATTTTGTGATGTAATATACTTCTAGATGTCAGGTGATTATTAATAATACTACTGTGAAATCAATGATAACATAACGAACTATATAAAATTTTACGTAGTTATCATCAATTCTGAATGTGAGACAAATGACCGTCAGTTCAGTTTAGTGTAATCATTTCAAGAGAGAGAATTAAAATCAACAAGACAAATAGTAATTCATTCAACATAATATCTGTATGAATACTGGTAAAACATACTAAGAATTTAGAATATGATTTGAAGAACAGATATGAAATAAAGCAATGTGAAGTAAACTTTAAGATAAGCTTACTTGCGATAGCTTTTAACTGTCTAACGCACACTTCTTCCGTTTTATTAGATTCACGCTCTGATAATGTTTCACCAATACATGCAATAACGCTTAAACCTTCAGCAAGTGCATGTTGAACTTTTTCAGCAATAAGCTTTGTTATAAAAAAATATGGGAAATAATTTTAATAAAAAATGAAAAAAATATTCTGGTAAATATTTTACTAAAAGATAATACATTGAAAATTGATATTACATACATCGAATAATCAGATGATTGTTTGAGCCAAAAACTATATATTTGTAATATATTGATGATTTTATGAGTTTATGTTCAGCTTTTATCACGTGATTTATCCACCAATAAAAATACGACTTATACAATCTTCACACTGTGCCAAACCAATGACGTTCGATCGGTATGGGCAACCTAGCGTCCTTATTGATCCTATGTCCACCTAGCTTTTCCAATTGAGTCCAGAACACCAAATACCAGCTTCCAATATGCGAATCGAATCGAATCATTTATCTCAGACATACTGGGTTTATATATCAACCAAACAGACCGCAAAGCACCATAAAATAGGAAATAACATTTGTACACAATAAAGCCAAAAAGTGACTGTGAACGTGGGAGGCAGTAGTTAATAAACTGAACAGCTTAAGAACAGTAAATCGTACAATAATAAATTATGGGTCAAAATAAGCTTATAATAAGAGGAATATCAATATACATGATCTAATTATCGAATAGTTACACCATAAGAATATATAGATAATATTAGTCAATTAATATGTCTCAGAAGTTACCCGTGATTTAATCTTCGCTCGGATATAACAGATGAGTAGAAAAAAGTTGAACTTCTGACTATCACACTAAGGTATAGAATATTGCAATAGACTATTTTGAAAATTGATCCTAAACAATGCTGAAATTCCTACGGTAGTTTGTTAAGTTTTAAATGGAACAGAGCTTTAAATAATAAACTGTGTTGTTTGTGATGAGTCGTTTAAACTTCAAGATAGTTTCTGTTACAAACTCATATCAGTTAGATAATTACGGTCAACTAGGGAACACTGAATATCTGCATTGTACATATTTCAAATTCCTATTTAATGCACGTGAATTTTACATCAATTCATGTAGAAAGCTTCCTTCTAAACATTCACATTAGTAAAAATTTAAAGTGGAAACAAAGAAAACACTTGTCTGATGTTTTGATGTGAATTGATTGTTTTATCCAATGAAATAAACAGCTAGCTCAAAGTCAACAACTACAAATCAATCGATCGATTTGATTAGATGTTTCTTATTTTTGTAGCGCAATAGGAATCGATAAGCTAACATACTTTTGAATACATTAAGCGAGTTTTGGGCATAGCTCTACCATTTAAAAAATCATTTTTAAACCGACTTAACTCAATAACGACATGGAACCATGTAATATTTCAGTTGAGATGTTCTCATTGGAAGAGAGGTGCAAACTAACGATTTGCATTCTAATACGTTGAGAACAGTTTTTTCTTAAGGTTTTTACCTAATATGATTGCCTTACTTTTTATATCTATCAACGGATTCAATTACTCAGAAAGAAGGTGATAAATGTACTCATATTTTATATCATAGTAATATGAGAAAACTAAAAGGAGGAAATTCAAATAGTAAAATTAGTTATATCAATAAAGTGGCAGACTAAAATTACGAGAACGGTGTTTGAAATGTGGAATCGAGTAAAAGTATGTATGGGATATAATTACCACAAGTCAAACCAGCAGTCATGAAAATTATTTGCTAATGTAATGGATTGGAGAAACGGCTGCTAACTTTATTTCAATATGTTCCTATTCTGATAAGTTTTCTAAATAAACGCTTGATTCGGTTTCCTAAGCTCTTCTAGTAAATTCCAGGCTAAACCTACACAGCAACCTAACATCAAATGGTGGCCGCTTATAAGTCTGTTATCTGATCCATTACCTGTAGCAATTACTCCAACTAATATCAGAATGATTCACTCTCTAGGTACCCCATTACAGAGTAATAGTTCAAAGAAAACTACCAACCGAAGCTAGTAACTTGAACAATCAAACACTATTTTACATAGACATAAATCAAAAGAAGACAGGACGTTGAGGATTATATTAGCAGGCACAAATATTGCTTAATCTATGATATTGTAAGTCGTCAAAAGCTACATTTTAATTTGTTTGCAAATAATTTGTTATTCTGTGATTATTTTTTAGCTGAAGATAACTCATAACTTATCGTTTACTTTAGCATCATTTAGGTTTTATCTCAACAACACTGACGATATTATTTTGCATTTTGTTCCCAAAATGCTCCAGATAAGACAAACTGTATTTATGAAACATTAGATATATATAAGAAACATCTTTTGATGGATTTCTACCAAATAATGATAAACAACTTGAACGTTTATGTATTACCACCTCAAATTCACATGGTTGAATTCAAAAACGACATTTTTAAGGAGATAAATAGAGTACACCTAGCCAATTAGACAGGCCAAATAACAAATGGTAAGTTCTGAGGAAACAGATACGCTTTCGATTTAAAATGGGGATTAATCTTCTGAGGTTTATAGGCGTACGTATACGGAGGGTTTTTGGATGTACTTTTAACTCGCTTAGACAATAATATGCTCAAATCCACCTTTGACTTTCTCAATCGAGTATCTGGTCGTACACGAGTATGGAAAGCTTGAATGCCAGTAGAAGACTCGGACGACCACAGGACATAAAAAAGTGGAATATGTGTTCATAAATATCCTCAACAAACACTAAATTTTTCCGATTGCATCATAACAAAAAGAATCAAAACCAACTGTCTAATCCAAATTATCGATTACCGAATGATATTCCTGACAAACAAATGTACATAAAATAAAATCACAGGTAATTGGTTCAAATCTATCGCAGTTTTTATTTTTACTATATTTTAGTAGTCCAGATATTGGATTAGGATCGTAAAATCTAGTATGTCCATCAATTTTATAACACTCAGTGCAGTTTCTCAAAGTTATGGATATTGACAATGATCGGTAGTTTTCTTTTTAATGGTAAATATATATCATATCTGTTGAAACATTTACAAATGAAGAAATCTGGTCAATCTCAGTAGTCAATTAAATATACAATGGACATTTTACTGCAATCAGTATGTCACGGATGTTTTATTTTAATGTGACTATTTTCAGCAAATATAATTACACACAAGATACACTCTCTAGGAACGTTCACAGCAAATATCTTTCAAGATTGAACTAGTTGTTGCAAACCTTTGTTTTATAAACTAACAAATAGGTAAGCCAATATTTATCTTAATGTTTATAAATCAGTTATAATGTATCAAACCGGATAGGTGTTAAGTATCAGAAAGAAATGAAGGTAGTTGTATTTCTGTCCACAAAATTACTGTTAGAAAGTCGATTTATATATCATAAAATAGTTGTTTCCTTATGATGGTACTATTAAAAAAACCTACTTCGTCAGATTCACCAAAAATGCTCCTACGCTCAGAATGACCAAGTATTACCCATTCACAACCAATATCTTTTATCATTGCAGGGCTAAACAAGATTTGTGGAGAGACAAGAATAAAGTTGATATATAAGTTACTACTAATTTAAAGCAAAGACGGAGAAACGGTATTCAGTATATATTTTGTCTTTCCTAATAACTGTGTCAAAAGAAAAATCATGATTTCACTTACTTATTACAGAAAGATCAAACATCGCGATGTAAGAAATAGCATACTTTTATGCATAAAAGTATAAAGCTGTAAATAAATCATCATAATAAATAATTTCGTAAGTCTTCGACGTTGATCCTGGCCTCGTTAGTTTTATTGAACACACCATAGTTTTAGGCGCTCAGCCAAGCATCCGCACCAGATCACTAATGAGCAAGCCCTATTATGTATTCCACGCAACAACTAGTCAGCTTAGCTCATATATTTCCCGACATATCGACTGCCTTTTAAATATACCTCCGAACACTCCCATTCTTGACTCCCGGTTTGACTGGGTTTGCGATCGTCTATCAAAAAGGTATTACAGATGACAGCGTTGTCAAGCCCTGAATACCTTAAACATATTTCAGCAGCTTATTGCATTGAGCTAACTTGACAGTGTGATTTGTTTTTAAGTAACACATATTTATCGTTAAAAAAAGTTGGAAATAGCATTAAAGAACAAATCATGTAACAGTAGACCCAGTAAGTCTCGATTTTTTTTTACTTAGTTACAGGAGAATAAAAAACAGGGAGATATATTTTTTCTCACCGACAGCTGCCACTATCTGAAATGACATCCAGCCAGATGTAGTCTGTTACCTCACTAGAAGTTTTTGATAATGGGCTTGACAACACCGAACTTAATCATGACCTACAACCTCTAGTCCAAAATAACTGCGCTTGATACGCGTCTTGCTGCCCATCTATCATTATTATTACTCCGCTTCTATCACTTTCCTCTCACTGTTCATTTTTCATCCTTACATTTCGGTTTGTTTATACTGTCTGCATAGTGACTTTATTTACGTCCTATAGCAATGGTCTTTTCTAAGCCACAGTTTCTTTACTTTAAAACCTCCATATGGTATCTATTCGGTAGTTTGATAAATTTTGGTTCAGAAGACGATACTGCCCTGAACCAAATTAATTCACTCAAGATATACAAACTGATAAACAACTACAGAAACTAATGGGACTGGCCAAATTGCTAGACTGCTTCCATAGAAATCCATTAAAGACCTGAGTCTGTATCGTAAAACCAAGGAAGGAGCACAAACAAAACATATGATTTAAACGAGCTCGTCAATATAATCTCTTAAATTTAAAGTAAGCACTTAAGTGGTCAAAAATGTTTCCACTGAATACCGTCTATTGGATTTTGCTTTGCTTTATTCGCCATCTTTTATTTACTTTTAGCTTCAATACACATAGCCATCCAGTATGTAGTAAAAGGTTTATTTCTGCTGTGAAACCATAGCCTTTGGCAAAGACGCATGTTATGTTCTTATTTTTTGGTACTAACAACGAATCAAAACGGTTTTATGGTTTCAATTATATAAAATTGAATAGAAATATTTTTAGGATCATTTAGCAACTATAGGAGGTTGAAGAGAAACAGTTACCTGATTTCTCCAGTAAATGCACCCTTTGATACTTTATAACAATTTTGAGCAGCAACATGTATTTCCTTCTTCAAAGTTTTTCGAACGTCGTGCAAAAATAGGGATGGTGGAGCAATTAAAACTTCTAAAATTGAAGTATATTTCGGACGTGACGTCATAACAAACCTGTGTTGTCACCAAAATGAGCTTCTGAGAGCAATTTAAGTAACTTTTCGTTATCTTCTCTGCTTCCGTTCATTTTCCAGTTCCCTCCAACAAAAAATTTGCGCGATCCAGACATTTTTTTAGTGGACGGGACCTATAGAATTAGTAACTGAAAGAACTCTTCGACCGACGCGCTTAAATTTCTAATGAAGGAGTTCAGTAGATCTTTGTAGTAAAACGCACTTTGCGTTAAAGTGATGTCCTTGAGTTGTTTTTTTGGTTACTGGCTTTTTATCAGTAAGGCAGTGATATTTTTTGATCTTCTGTTAGTTACCATGGTCCCATTAATTTTGGTTCGGACGTAATCGACTAGCAGGTATAGCCGGATCATGAATCCACTTAATTTCCTGATACTTTATCGCTTGTTTTAGACGCTCCAATCATCCATATGTTACTCACTGAGTCACTTGTATCGGTTTACATTTATGTCTGGGAACAAGCTCGTGCTATTTCGTCTGAAGATCTTACGGACATAGATCGGAAAAAAAAATATAGACGCGCGCTATTTAAAAAGGACAGTGATATTTTTCCTCGCTGAGTAAATTTGTTTGTTTTTATCGCTTATTACGTATCAAGACTACTGTTTTCACTTTAATTGAATTTATTTCAGTCAAAGTGTTCGACTAGAGTATCGTTTTTACTGTTCTCTAAATTAGTTTTGTCGTTGGTACTCTTGAGTACCTTTTTTTTCAACTGTATCTGTTAGTACTTTTGGTCCTAGCAATCTACAGCTCCTCACTTTTTTGGTCATTGATTATCTTTTTTGTTTCTGAGTGTCATCGCATCTTGAAAAAGTACCCCTCCTAAATGACCGGACAGTGTAAAAAAAGCAGTTGCCAACGTCCGGGTTGTCGTTATCCTGTTACAAGCGGCATGCAGTGCGACGAATGCAAAGGCTGGTACCACGAAGTTTGCACGAACTTAACGCCTACTGCTTTCAAACGGTTCAGTAAGAAAGGTTGTGCATGGCTTTGTCAACAGTGCTGCTCGGATGCAAACAGCTTGTTAACCGGGGCCATCTCACTGGTCGATGCTGCAAAGAAGTGTTTTAGCAAGCATAGTCGGAACGCGTCTAACAGCACTCGATCTGTCGACACGCAAATCAACGTGAAGGAAACTAAGGTTAGTCCGATGATAGATGACTCACGCCGGTCAAAGAAGGAAGAGCAGTCTCCAAAGGGGCCTGCCTTAAACAAAAGCTCAAGAAAAGTAGGGTCTTCTGTTCCCCGTCTCCCAGATGGGATCCAACAAGAAACACCTAGAAGCTGCAATCGCAAAGCTCGATCGGTCTCAAGCGGTAAACATAACTCGCCCTCTCAGGTCGTCCACAACCCCCTGAAATCCAACACTAGGTTTGACGCAACTGTTATCGCTTCTACCAGTACCGTTGACGAATGGGTACAGGTTGTGAGGAAGAAAAGTAGGGATATAAAAGGGAACCCTGCCCCCGTAAAAGTAGTTGAAAAATCGAAGGCTGATCATAGCGACAGATCAGCTATTTTTCATAGAATCAAGGAGAGCGAGAGCTCTGAACCTAAAGCTCGTTTTGAGCATGACATTGTACTGATTAGGCAGCTGCTTAATCAACTCATGCCTCAAAATATGACTGGGGTCACCTTGCTAAAGGTGTATAGACTAGGGAGTCTAACGGACTCGAAACCAAATCATTCCAGACTGCTTAAAGTAGTATTCGGCTCTTCAAACGAACGTGACCTAATTTTACAAAATGGACACAAATTAAAGGGTTCGGGAGTCTTTATCCGAAAGGACCTACCGTTGGCAGACCGTGTTAAAAGACGGGAAGCCGAGAAAGAACTACAACATAGGTTAGACGCTGGCGAAAAGGACCTGAAAATTGTAAATTTTCGGGTTGTAAGACTTCGACAGAGAATGATGCCGAAGCCACTCTGGGTGAAGCACGAAGGCACCTAAACAGGCTTCGGATCGGTTACACAAATGCACGAAGCTTACTTAATAAGCGATCGGAACTAGGTGTACAGATTGACTCTATAAAGCCAGATATAATCGCAGTAACAGAAACCTGGCTGACACAGGCTATAGATAGTATAGAACTTGATTTCGAGGGCTTTACGTTAGTAAGGGCCGACAGAACACAAAAGCGCAAAGGAGGGGGAGTAGCTCTATTCATTAGGAATGCTATCCCATTTGCCATTATCGATAGTGTATCCCATGAGAGTGGGACGTGTGAATTAGTTAGTCTTCGCCTAAAATGCAAGGGACAAGAGCTGCTGATTGGTTTGGTCTATCGCAGTCCAAGCTGTGAGGCAAATGAGATCCTGTTAAGCAGTCTCAATACTTGGTCCCAAAGTGGTCGATGTCTAATCCTAGGGGACTTCAATGCACCTATGGTAGACTGGGAAAATCTGCGAACTAAATCGTCGGAGAATTCTTTCGAGCAGGAACTAGTTGATGGGATTATCACATGTGCTCTAGTGCAACATGTGAAGGAAGCGACAAGGTACGATCCGGACACTGAATCATCCTTATTAGATCTTATACTGACTCACTATGAGGATGATGTCGCGAACCTCCATCATATGCCACCCCTAGGTGAAAGTGACCACGCAGTTTTAACTTTTGACTTCCATATAACTGCCAGTCACGAGCACGCGTCAGTCCAGTCCGGACCCAACGTCTGGAAAGCAAACATACCAGGCATCATGCATTCAGCATCGTCAATAGATTGGACAATAGACCCAAAGTCCTCCATTGAAACGGCTTGGGACGCATTTCGAAATTCATACTTAAAAGTTACCACACCTCACATCCCTTGGACTATACAAAAGGCGCCGAAAAAGTCACCACCATGGTTCAGTAGGGAGGTCCGTATCCTTCTCCGTAAGAAAAGGAAAATGTGGGATAGATTTAGGTTACTGGGGACTGATGAGTCAAAATCTCAGTATCGAAAGGCTCGGAATACTTGTGCCTCGACCCTCCGTAAGTCTAGAAAACTGTACGAAGAAAAACTTGTTAAGGAATCCATAGAATGTCCTAAACGCTTGTATTCCTATATAAACCAAAGGACAAGGAGAAAAGGAAATATTCCTGCTCTATGGGGAGATAGTACTGCTTTATCATTAGTGGAGGACGACTTTGGTAAGGCTCAAGTGTTCTCGAACTACTTTAGCAACGTATATACCATAGAAGCGCCCTTCCCGTCAGCGTACACAGATCTCCCCATACACACATTGGATAGCGTGACCATTAAAGAACTTGAATGTCTTTGGTCTACTAAATAAGCTTGACATAGGTAAATCCACGGGGCCCGATGAATTACATCCTAGGCTGCTGAAGGAATTATCTAACTTCGTTGCAAGCCCTTTAAGTATATGCTTTAACTCATCCGTTAAGCAGGGTCGTTTACCGAAAGACTGGAAAAACCCCATAGTAAGTCCTATTTCCAAAACAGGTACGAAACACAAACCTGAGAACTACCGCCCCGTTAGCCTAACTAGTGTGGTTATTAAAATCTTAGAAAAGATTGTTCGGATGGAGCTGTTTAAGTATCTCGATAAAAACCGGATCCTCTCGGAGAAGCAGCACGGCTTCAGAATAGGTTATTCTTGTCTCACTAACTTATTAGTGGCTCGTGAAAGCTGGTGCGCTCTTAAGGACCAAAAGTCACCTGTAGACGTAGCCTTCATTGATTTCAGTAAAGCTTTTGACATAGTTCCGCACAACCGGCTGTTATATAAGTTAAGAAAAGTCGGGATTGGAGGCAATTTATTGATTTGGATAAAAGACTTCTTAGTTGGGCGTCAACAAAGAGTAAGGGTGAACTCTAAGTTATCTAGCTGGGAAACTGTGCTTAGTGGGGTGCCCCAGGGTACAGTTTTGGGGCTAGTGCTATTCCTAGTGTATGTAAATGACCTTCCTTGTCTCCTATCATCATCGGTCTTGCTATATGCTGACGATGTCAAGATATGGAAAACGATACGATGTAAGAGTGATAGCTTAGAACTTCAAAATGACCTGAAGAAGTTATCTGAATGGTCTCAAACATGGCAGTTGCAGATAAATACTTCCAAATGTGTTGTGATGCATATCGGTCATCAAGGCACAGATACATACACGATGAATAATACTGAGCTACCTGTCGTCCAGACATATAGTGACTTAGGAGTTATCGTTAGTCAAGACTTAAAGACTACTGCACACTGCCGTGCAATAGCCGCCAAAGGTTTTAGAACGTTATGGTCAATACGTAGAGCTTTTAGTCATGTCGACGCAAAAACGTTTTTGACTTTGTATACAGTGTTCGTTCGTCCTAAACTTGAGTACTGCATACAAGCGGCTAGCCCCTGCTTAAAAAAAGACAGTGAGCTTCTGGAAAAGGTTCAGAGAACGGAGACTAGGCTGATTCCCGAAATAGCGAAGCTTCCGTATGAATCTCGACTGGCCAAGCTGAACCTTTTCCCGTCGTCATATCGCAGAACTAGAGGCGACTTGATTACAGTCTACAAACTGCTTAGTTGTAAATTTGCACCTGATATTACATAACTTTCATATACTGATCTGGAAGGAGGTATAGTGTATCTCGAACATTTTTGTTCATTAAAGAGGATCAGCTAGTTCAAATGGTCGAACAACTACTGAAATAGCGCAACAGTCTATAAAAATTTACAATGCTTATTAATGAAAGTACTGTCAGAACTAACCAATCTATTATGTGAGTTTCACACATGACATCATCTATAAAACCATGAGAATTCAGTATTTCTAAGCATATAGCATTATTTGATCTCTTCGTAGTGACTTTCTAGAGGTTGTGGAGGCAAATAAATCTTTGGAATAAATAGTTCCGTAAGTCTCCGACATTTGGTGCAAACCGCACTGGTTTCGGTGGAATCACCCAACTGAAGGCGCTTGGTCAGGCATCCGCCCCAGATCAAAGCCATACTGTGCGTCTCTTACAACCGTTATCCAGCTTAGATTGACCATTTCTCGATGTATTGATAGCCTATCAAGTATATCTTTAAACCTCTTCGTTTCTGGTTTCTGATTTCGCTGAGTTGGCACGTTTCGAATAAAAAAGGTGTTACTAATTGGGGCGTTGTCAAATTCTGAATACTTGTGTCATCGTTAGTGGTGATCCCGAACGGTTATGATACTCCAATTTGCAAACAGTGATACTGTAGAGTTGTGGTTTACTTCGTTATTAGTGCCGCTCTAATAATTGACTTTATCCTAATATTGTAGGTTTGTCATGTTGTAACTGCATAATCTATTTAGATCTTACGTAGAAGTCACATTATTATCTACACCAACTCATCGCATCGTAACAATCATCAATA